CGACGTGCACGTCAATGAGCAAAGACAAACGTTGTTGGTCTCCACCCCTTTGATCATTGTGAAATATGCCCTTGGAGTTCATGAGATTTAACGAAAGTTTAGGCTCCGAACAAGGTGAATTCCGTGACTGTTACAGCTTACCCAGCTGCTTACCCCAACTCGTAATTTAATCCTGTGGATTGTGTGCTTCAACGGCCCGACACATTCAATTTCACAGGCTATTTTTGGGAGTACTGTATACACCTTGCTCTCCTGACTTATAATCTTGTCGCAGCAATGAAGTGAAAGGGTGGAAAAGCAGGGCGCACCCAACCTTAGCGCTGGATTCCTCACCCCTCTTGGGATACATCATTGTCGCGCAAGTCAAAACGAGGCTCGTACTTCATTCTAGACGAGGTCTCCGAGTTTTCTCTCTTGAACACGCCAGATGACAATTTCTCGGAGGAGGGGGCAGGTGGATGTGGTCAGAGGCAGGCTGAAGAAGGTCGTACCAGGAAACAACTGGGAAAGGGTCGTATTTTGAGAAAAAATTTCCCTCCGAAATGATATACCCTATCCCATCTGCGCATCTCTGGTGTTTCTGTGGCTTTCCGCGCTTCTCAAGTTGACTGCAGTCATTACGGGAGAATTGACGACGCCTTCAGTACTACACCTAACCACAAGACTCTTGAATGGTAGGAACAAAACACACGAAAAATGAAGGGAAAGAGAAACAAATCCACAAAGACTCAGATAAACATTCCAAACACGTGCACAGCACGAAGTCAGCAGGTTGGCAAACTTGTCCAGGATCTACTAATCTGATCACAGAGATGTAGAGGGTAACATGTGCGGGCGCTCTTGACTCTAGCGGCCCGCATGATGAAAGCCGATTTCGTGATTCTATGGTTGTTAATCGGGCCTTTAAATGAGACAAAGCAAAAATTGGACTCACCAGGGAAGTCCGCCAACTTACCATGGAACTTTGAATGGAGACCTGGGTAGATCGATAGAGTCTATAAGGTTATTTACAAATATAGATAGCAAAACTGCAACCTGCATTTCACAAGCAACTTATGAGCAGGTAAAGTTTGTAATGGTGCAGTAGGGTGGAGGCTTGGTGGTGAGCTGTGAAGCATAAGCGAGGAATCGCATACGTCGAATCGAGTCGTCGAACGTCGAACCTTACCAACCACCACGACTCGAGGTTCGCAATTTGCTATCTATATTTGTAAATAACCTTATAGACTCTATCGATCTACCCAGGTCTCCATTCAAAGTTCCATGGTAAGTTGGCGGACTTCCCTGGTCAGGGAGGGGGGGGGAGAAAAACACAAACATGAGGAGAACAGACACATTGTGCCGAGGCGGCTAGGCGACTTGTTATAAACTGGAAGAGACACGAGGCTCACATAACCATGGAGTGAGTGAACGTGAAACAAGACCCTTTTTGTAATTTTTTTTTTTTTTTTTTATTTCAGATTCTCGCGGAACCTCCCATATTCAACGCAACAACTGACTCGCTAAAGGTTTACGTAAGATGGACGTTACCGAGGTATGTGGGAACTGCTTGCTGATTCTTGCTTTGTTTCGTTTGGTACTGTAATTCGTGACGCTACTGTGCGTTGTTGCTCACTAGGGACACGCCCCACGCTGGAGTGACCATATTGTGCTGCCCAGCACCGTCAATACTATTCACTGATACGCTTTGGCTGGGTAGACGGTTCACTACTATAGGCGCCATGCCTGGCGAGTAAGCTGCGGCCATCTTCGTCACTAATGTAGAGAACTTCGGCGGCTAACAAAAGTGGACTAGCGCGAGAGAGCAAAACTGCTATAGCTCCATCGCACAATGAGGCAATGTCGGCGTAATAGGTGTCCGATATGTGCTGAGATTCACCACAAATTACCGCTTCGATCTTGAGGTATTCCGTAGTTAGTTACGGGCAAAAGCATGGTTTCAGATGAGGCTTTCCCCATGACATCGTGCACTGTGAGTAGCGCTCTTTCCATTTCAACTGCATATAGCTTGTATTAAAAATATTGTTCATCACAAAGAAGACCCAGAATTTGCATCACACTTCATAGCTGAGATAGTGGGTAGTAGCTGCAGAAAAACTAGTTAGAAAATGGTGTGGGCGGCAAGGCAGTTTCTGTGCATCCTCATTACGCAAACCACAAGATTATTAGTTCAAGATGTACCCCGAAAATTGCGGGGAGGAAGCTCTGGGGTGTGCCGCCTGGGGCGTTACCCGCCTGTCCCGGGAAGGTGCCTCCCTTTGTAACCCTACACCTTCAATAGCTGTGTGCAGGCTCTCGCAAAGTGGGGCTAAAATCTAAGTACGTGTTTGTTATGGCAACTGCAGCGCTAGTTGTGGGAGTTCTGACAATGGCTTTATTGGTAGCACAAACATGTAATTCCTCTACACAACGTGCATGATTTCGTGGTTTTAGGGGGTACTCCGATTCGGATATCTATGGATACGAGGCCCCTGCATTGTACCCCATACAGTGTAAAGCTTCAGAGGACGATTTGCCGCAGCCAAAAATTGTAAGTTAATTTATGTTGCAGGAAAAATTGTGAAAATTGTGAATTGTAGAAAGTAGATCGTAGGAAATTGTAATGACGTTTCACCACGAAACATCCGTAGAACTGAAAAAATAACTCATTCTAAAGGAGATCGTACGAGCTGGTGGCCGATTGGTCGTGATGCTGCCGCTATCAGTTCTTGAAGCACGATGTCGTCTGTGGGTAGAAGTTAGAATGCTGCCAAGGTAATCGATAAGAAAACTTATTATTATTAGGAATTACGGAGTTCAAGATGCCAGGGATTTTTAACAATTTTGACACTGTATTGAGCAGTCTTGCTGTAGCAAACTGTGGCGCCGCTTGTCATGCGCGCTGTCTGAAGGTCAAATCCCGCGGCGCTTTATTCCAGAAGGCTACGCGTTCGCTTTGAGCCAGATATTGCTTCACGGGTGGCATAAGCAGTTGCTCGTAGATCACCTAGCCCTTGCAAACGATCACACATAGCCTACATGTTACTGCAAATCCCATCGGTGGGGGGGGTATGTATTGTTAGCTGTTCGCAGAGGGAGGCTGATGGCTGGCGGTGTTTTTTTGACAGGTATTTTCTTTGTTCTTTAAAAAACGCTACGTGTAGGCCGATTTGGCGCTGTTAAAAGGAGAAATAACGATTCCAGAGCTGACCCTGTTCGCCATAGGTTTAGGAGACCCACGCTTCAAGGGAAATACCCACAGACCGTTCCAGACATCCTGCTGTGAGATTATTTTCCCGACTGTACAGGCTAGTCAAACTGAATGATGCGCCCTGGTTACAAACCTTCGTGTGAGTCGAGTGCAAAGGGTTGTACTACGTCAACTGTGAACCAGTGCGAAATTAAGCGGGTAAATTTTTGAAGGCATTGGCACGAATAAATCCGAAGGACAAGCGGGGTTAATTACACCGTTAAAGGAACGGAATTTGCGTACCTTGAGCAGCGCTGGTCTTTTTGCTCTTTTCCCAAGGAAGTACCCCATTTAAGCTCTATCAAGCTGGCACATTAATCGACCCGGACGCCATCCGCGCTCGCCCGTCCACAAATGGATGACCGTAGCTCAAGCTCGTGTTGCTTCATTTGCAAAGTAAAATAGGAAGCGAGGGGATTGATACTAAAGCGACGGTCGCGGTTGGCTGCATGGTTATAGAAGTTAGCATACGCGCAGCCGCTACAGTAGCAGTTATTGAGATGCCAACAGAAAACTCGTCCGAAATCGCTTTTCGAGTCATTAAGAACGAAGGCTTTTCCCCGCAGGTTTTTGACTGTTTCACTTCGTTTTTTCGCCATTCCCCCTTCCCCACTATATAGCACCCTGCTAGCATTTTTATAGATTCAGTACCAAATTAGCCGTGAATTGCCTTTGAGGGCTCTCCCTTCTCGTATGAAGAGCGTTCATAGTGCGTCGCGCTCCTGTTTCTACATTGTAAGATCCTGAACACTAGCATTCAGTCGAAAAGGGCTGATTCAGCTCTTTTTTCTCGAAGCACCCACCATACAGGCCGTACCATGCTCAATGAGCCACTACATTTCGTACGGAAGAGGAATGATTGAGATCCTAGAAGAGAAATCTGTGTAGGGCAACGTAACGCAGAATGCTTGATCCCTTCACAGAGGGTCATCATTATGTACCTAAATGTCAGTTGTAAGCGCTGCCCCTTTCATGGAACCCGAATCTCCGCTTCCCTAGCACCATGGTGCTTGCTCACGCGCTCCCTGAGCTCCGATTGCACTTTCCTTCGGATGTTAGTGTGGTATAATAATTGGAGTATTGGCAAGAGAATTTTCTGTGTTCGCCGCCGCAAGGGGCTCGCGATGTGGAGTCGCGCCCCTGATAACAATCAATTTTTTATTGAATTGATAGGGAATAATAGACAATGTGTTAATCAAGAACATTATATAGATGTCTACATTTATGTCTAAATAAATTCGGTTGCTCAACCGAAGGAAGCGCATTAAGGAAGTTGTTGCCGCCGATCGCCCGCGCCACGACGAAGAGGCGACTTACGATTCTTTTGCCCGCTTTACGTGAAGTATACTGGTTGGCGGGAGGCGTATTCGAGAGTTAAACCCAAATTCTGTGCACTACCAGCTACTTACTACCAAAACAATGATAATTGATCTGGTGATGACAGAGTACAAGATCGTTGGAAGATCCCATAGCTGGTCGTACATACCTATAAGATAACCCAGAAGGATCAGTGATAAGAGGCTTCCAAGAAAAATACAAGATGAATGACTGTTTTCAGGTGTGTTCGCCTCGAACCGTTCAGTGTCCAGAAAAATATAGACATCGACTGTGATCGCAATTTGGATTTGGACTTCTGCAGGAAGGGTAAGTGGTTGGAGTGTTAGTGCTTGTCGAGCGGCTACGTGGACGCTTAGACGCACGCCGCACGGACCGATGACGATCTACGTTGATATCGCTCGACGAAAAAGCTGGCAAAATTTCTGCGGCTATTTGAAACCGCCTAATTCGTCGCGAGCGACAAGTCTCGAGAAACCTTGAGTTTGCGCAGAGCTTGATGGGTACTGTTACAGCGAATTCGCTCCGTTGTATTCTCTTATTGAGGCGTCGTTCCAAACCTGGAAATCACAGTTACGGCAAGTCGTAAGCCTGGGATTCAAGTGGGGGGGGGGACTGTATTCGGCCGCTGGTGGTTCAGGGGGCGTATACATATGACTCCGAGAAAATGTTTTCGGTTGTTGACTGTTCTCGGTTCTCTTTTCATGTGCGCTATAACCCATCCCTCCCCCTGTCCTTCCGATGGCAAGTTTTAAGGAAAGGGAGAAATTCTGAAACAAGCTCTGGAAAAAAGGTAAGAAGATGGGAAATTCAGGAAAATTGTAGGTAGGGTGGGGAAGGGAGGAAGGGATCGAAAAAGACACTAATGGAGAAAATCTTGAAGGGAGGATAGGCCACAGAGTTTTTGGCTCTATTTACTCGTTACTGCCCCAATTATCAGAAATCTGGCCAGTTTTAGTGACCGGTTTTTTTCTCCGTGAGCGGAATTGGCTAAAAATTTGTCCCCTGCGTTAATTTGACCTTCTGAACATGAGTATTACATCTGCTCGGCACGAATCCTCCTGGCCTTGCTGAATACTTGTTCCCAGGGGTAGTTCTGACCTCCTGAACACGAATATCACATCGATTGTCCCGAAATCTCCTGACACCCGCATCAGGCGCTGGCGCCAAAATACCTCAAGTCATTGGCGTCAGGAGGTTTCTGGCTAAGCGGATGAGATATTTGTATTTATCAGATCAAACCACCCCGGGAAACAACATTTGAGCCAAGTTTGTTCACAGAGAAAAAACTCGTCGGTCAAAAAAACGCTCGATTCTGGATGATTGGGCACTAAAGGAGTAAAAGGTGCCGAATTTCTCCCCAACGGCAGGAAGTGCCCTGATCACAGCAGCTTTTGCGACTGCAAAAGGAGGCCAATTTGATGTGACGTTTAAATATAAAAGCTGGAGGTCTATCCAGGTAATCCCCCACTTCCCGAAAAACCTCGTTTATTTTAGACACCAGCCCCGTTTGCATGGAAATCCAAGGCGTCAGTGGAAAAAATGGTCGAGCAATTGTTACATGGCTTCCACCGAAGCGAGTTCCACTTTACTACCATGTTCGCTACGGTCCTGCAGAGATCAAGGTGAGCAATCAATTTTTTTCCGGCAGTAGACAAGAGTTCTTAGGAAATCTGCTAATACATACATTGCCTCAGGGGACAATGCCTTTGGTAACTTGGCAGATTGCCACCAAGAGAGATATCAAAGCCGACGGTTCTATCACTAGCTTGACACTGGATGTACAAGAAGATCGAGATTATGGAGTCCAAGTGAGTCGGAAAAATCTTCTTGTTGCTTCCCGTTTTTCTTACACTTCACTACCCAATTATGGAATCTTCCGATTTTCAGGTGTGTGCGATTTTCAACCAACTACGTAAACGACCAAAGTTTGGATTGGTCCCAGTTACACCGTTTCTCTGCACTAGCTGTAATAACACCTGTAAGTGCTTTGCCAAAATTGCTAAGCTTTTTGGGGTGCGGTTATATGACGGGGGGGGCATTCTGCTTTCTCATAGATTTGCCAACCCATCTAGGTACCCTTTTTTTCGAGTTGACACGTTTTAGGATGGTGGCTAGACGATCTTGCTCCAGCTTCACAAGCGTTCACAAGTTACCAGAGTGAGATTTGGTAAACTATACAGGGAAGCTAAAAAAATTATAAATACATAAATGCCCCCCCCCCCCCGTCGATAATACAGCTGCGCCCAGAGTAGCAAATTCCTCGGATTCGTATGAAAGCCGCGCCGTTTCTCTCATGGCTGGGCGCTCTGAGTACCTCTCGATAGGCAAATTCCTGGAATACGTATGAAACGGCGTACGTCTCTTTCGCATGCTGTGCCCGGTCCTGAGTACGCATCTCTGGCATTTGGTAAAGATAATGAAAGAAGTTTAAGGAGTTGGCTTCGCAGTCTGGCAAGCAGAGTGACAAGGCAAGTTGATTAACCGATTATTGTTACTGATTGTACTTTTCCGCGAGTGAGGAAAAGGAACACTCAGCCTGTATAAGCGTCCTAGATAAGCTCTCCGCTGTGCAATTGGCTTTCAGCCCTGGAAGAGACGTTAAGGGACACCACAAGTTCGGTCATGAGACCAGGCCAGGATGAGGCAACTGAGGCGAGACCGACAGACCACTGAGGAGCACTCCAACTCACGATCCAACGACCTTCATCTCTGGGTGGGACAGCTTTTGATAGGTGGGGTCGCAAATGGTGTTAGCCATGAAAATGGTTCAGCGTCCGTCATTGCAAATGAGGCCATGTACATTGGAATTTCTTTCAGGACACATCGCGCTCGCGGTGCCGGCGGTGCTCGTTGTCGGAGATTCCCCAACAGGGGTAGTATTCGGTTGGTGGGCGAAGGGGTCGTAATTTGGCCGAGAAAAACTTATTTTGATGGCTGGTTTTTCTTAATTAACGGACGTTGTAAGTGGGGATCTTACTCCCTTCTGACCATCTGGAGGAGGATTCCTTGACTTTTCGTGATTTTTCCTGTTCCATGTGTGCTACACCCACTACCCACCCTCCCCGCTCGACAGCAAAATTTTCGGGGGGAAGTGGGAAAATTTTCGGGAAAATCCGGACGAAAAAGTGTTAGCAAGTTGTGGAAAATCTAGGAAATACTAGAAGGGGGTCTCATTTACGTCGCGGCTTTCTTTTCTTCTTTTCCCGTTTCACATGTGCTCTTTATCCCACCTCACCGTCTCGACAAGCTCGTTTTGGAGAGAACCTGGGTGAGGAAGGGGGGGGGGAGGGTCGTACCATACCTTCTTTAAAAAAAGCGGGGGGGTCGTTACGGACTTGACCTAAATCCCCAACCAGATGGTGGCCTCTAGCCCGATTTTCTTTTGTTCTTCTAGTAGGATGCCATCTTCAATAAATGTAAGGATTATTGATATGTTTTTCCATTTATCTCTAGACAAAACTCACCAAAACAACGTAAACTCTTATTCGTTGTGGGTTTTCCATTTACCCAGACTCCAACCCGAAACAACGTAAGCTCCTATTCGTTGTTGATGCTGGGGCGTTTCAGGAAGACTGGGCTCGGCCCAGCCCATACTTCATCAGTTGCTGAAGCGAACAAGCTACAAAAACTGGTGTGAAACGGGCTAGCGTCGCGCGCAACCCAGCTTTCACCCCCACCTAACTCATTGACACGCCCCAGCATCCACAGCGAATGAGGCTGGGTGGTCGCATGCTCGCTGAACATTCACCAAGTATCCATCTGGATTCCTGGGCTGGGGCGGACCATTCAAGCGCTCCTCATCAACCGGACTCCGCCACATCTATCTGTAGCACTCAAATTAGTAGGGTAGTGACGTTTTCGGTTTTTTTCTTTTCTGGGCCTCATTTGAATTGTACAAAGTGAATGCACTCAGCCCAGCTGGTGTCCAGTCGAGAGCGCAGGACCACGCGCTGCTGGTGAGATGGCGGAGCGGTATGGGGAGAGCATTATGCTCTAGTTTCAGTCTTCAGTTGTCGTAACACATTGAGAGAGTGACACGCGCCACCGCCAGACAAAATGAAGCGTAAAGAAAATCGAGACGATGATAGGGTATTGCACGTCGAGCTGTCACAATGCAAGTTCAGCGATGGGGTGAACTAAGAACTGGTTATCTATGCAGAGTCGAGCGAACGGCGTTGGTAAGGGCCCCGTTGTACTCTAAACCGAGTTCTTTCGCTCGTAGCTGTGTGCGCCTTTTCCAAGACCAACTGAGAAGGAGTCATGGATTTTGTCCATTGTGGCGAGAAACGACCCCAGTATGTGAGGTGCGTGCTCACTTGTAAAAAAGTGGCCACATCCGCGAGACACTCAACAATTTACAGAGAGAAATTAAAGAGCCTACACTACTTCGATCCTTGTCTTGAGTTTCAGAGTAAGAGCAAGTTGGAGCGTCCGTCTGGGAGTAACAACGATGTAGGGAACAGAACACACTCTCAGCTGAGAACAGAGAAAATTAGATGCTAAGAGGTCTGACTACTGTTCGTCAAAGGCGAATCTTTGTTAGCTTTCTCTCAAGAATAAACTATGGTCAGGATCAATGATGTCACGGGGGAGAGATGCGATATCTCAATAGCCACATCATATTTGATTTGAGAAACATGAATCGTCGACTGTGGAAGTCTGCGAATCTGGAGGGAAGTAAACTGAAATCGGGCGCATCTTCGTGTTGGGGATGTATGGTCTAGTTGCAAGTACGTTGACGTATCTGCGCCCCAGCTTTTCGAGTCGATTTAAGCAAGGAGTTGGTACGCTATCGACACTGTTTGCAGCTTCACACCCGTATGAACAGTCCTACCTTCAAATGCCGCACGTATACTTCTCTCACACGTCGCACGCGTGTCATCGAAGTACGCTGCAATATGGAGTGGGCTTATAAATGAATGCTATTTCTTTTAGTGCTGAGAAGAATGTCATCCGCGGAAACTTTGTTCAGGCTGGCTCATGAAGTTTTTGTTGCACGTTGGATTTAATCTCCACTCAAGGCACATACTACCCCCCCCCCCCTCCCAGCAACGACCAAATACGACTCCACCTCCCAGCGCAAGTAGACCCCCCTTGTGTTTTACACAAGGATGCTGTACCCTATCCGCACATACGATTAACGTAAATGCGCCCTTGCTTGAAAACGCCCTGAATTTCAGAACAGAAAAAGAGCCCAGCTGCGACGGAGAGGGCATTTGGTACTATCATTGCTTCCTTAGTTCCGGTTTATATGTCTCACTCTGGCGAGACCTGTGAACTCTTGTGAAGCTGGAACAAGGTCGTCAAGCCATCATGTCAAAACCTGTCAACTTGAGAAGAGGGTGTCTAGATAGGTCGAGACATCGATGGGGAGTAGCAAAAGTGGCAAAATGCCCCCCCCACACACCTGTCGGCAAACTAAACCCAATGAGCGTGGTTCCCTTACACGAGACCTACGGGAAAATACAATAAGAGGCACATTCCGTGGAAAAAATTGGCTCAGTTCGGATTAGTCGGGGCATTTGTCGGCTCTGACTGATCATCGCCCACACCTCGCGCGCACACTCGGGTAAAGCTATGCGATAACACGAGCGTCGTCTACACTTAGAAAGGGTCTGCAGGTCTCATTGGGGTGACACATGTGATTCAACAGGAACCACAAAAGAAACTAACGAACGTGTGAAATGCCCTCCCTACCCCCTCCCCCCAAGATGAACAGCGCCGAGAAATTCCCAGGTTCCAGTCGAAAGAAAAGTAGTAGACAATCACTGAAAAACTACTGCAAAATGCATATGGTTCGTTTCGTCCATAACCCCAGACGAACCACCATTTTTTCTTGACCCTGGCAGTCATCAGTAACCGAACATTTCAAAACCAAACAGGGCCTTCACTACAGAGTACATCATCGTTGTGCAGAACCTATCAGAGGGTCGATTCGGCCGGTGGAGGGCTCGGGTGATATTGTACTTTTCCTACAAAAAAACCGCACGATTGTTGATAACCCTTATTTCGTAGACGGGATATACACGCGATATCCTCGAGACGGAGTGGGCGTGCCTGCGTACCGCACTGAAACCTAGAGTGGCTGCGCTTCTCGTGGGAAATTTTCGCTCCGGGACATTTGAAATTAATTTTTGTGCAGCACAAGGCAGCATGACAGTTGCTTCGAATGGGAACATCTCACGACAAACCCACCCGCGCCATGAAATTGAGATACGCAGGACGCCCTCCGCCTTCCCTATCCTCGGGATATGGAGTGTAACCCTTTTCTCTCCTTTCCCTCAATCATCGTAGTTGGCGGCGCAGCAAAACCACTTTTTCTGATAGTTGATGGGAAAACCTGGTAGGATGGTAGCTTGTGAAGAGTACCATATCGAGCCCCTATTTGTGGTAGGATTCTTTTTGGCAGCAGTGTTTAACCCATATCGATTATGTACCCTGATCTACTAGAATCAATATTCCTACGTTCTTGTCGTTTCACAGCCGAAATTGCACACGATTCCGGTACTTAATAGGCATTTCCTGCTTCTTTCGTGATGTCTCACATCGGTCGAAGAGGCATCAAGCTGAAAGCAAAATGTCGGCGGAATTTTGGAAGGCAAAAAGTTTCAAGCTATTTATGTGATAAAACCAACTTTGCTCTTCAACTCCGAAGCCGCCTTTATGATGGCGTCCTCATCCAGTAACGTTTGATTGCCTGCAGACGGCTCCAGAGCAAATTCTTCCGTGTTCACTTTTCTAAAGAGGATAATATTTGGGAATCGACTTCTTGAAAAATTCTTGCAATGCGCTACCGTAATAAGGCCTACCTGCTCAGTTCTGTTTCGTCTGAAGCTTGCTCTAGGTGTTTTACGGACTCTTCCAGCTCCTTTGAAAGTTGCTGCTCACTATCACTCGACTCCTTCTCATCTGGGAGTTCCGAATCTTTGCTCGCTACTCGATGGGAGTTTTGAACTCGCTCCAGATTCACAGGGATATTCGATATCGTTTTGGGCTTATCCGATTCCGGGTGCAAAAGGTCTGCCTCGACATCCACCACTTCAGTTATACTGACTTCGTCTATCTCAGCGGTCACCTTCACTGGGGTAGTCTCTGGCACAGAAGTTGTTGTGGTGACGGTTTCTTCCGTTATTGGCAATTCTGTTATTGTCGTAGTCGGCAGCTCAGAAGCAGTGGTAGTTACTGAAGTCGTGGTGGTGTGAGTTGTGGAGGTAGTAGACGTTGTGACAGTTGCTGTGGTAGATGAAGAGGGGGCAGCACTCGGCGTTGTATCGACCACTTCAGCAGTTTCAATAGCGATCGGAACATCTACTGCATGCTGAAATAAGCACAGTCTTAGTTAACTACCTTGTGGAGACAGAAAATCAAAGAGTTCTACAAAAAGCACGGGCTGGTAGCTTTAGAATGCGCCATGTACTCAACTTCCGTCTAAAAGAATACAGTGTTGTAAGCAGGGTATCGTTGGAAAGCATCGCTGAAAGAATTCCAAGAAGGAGGTCATGCTTGTTTCCTAGTGAAGCGGGGAAGAGAAGGTGTCGAGTAGATAGGGGTCATTTTTGGTTTTGCCGATGGTTCTTCCAACAGAGCGAAAAAATTTTCGGGTTTGATCCCTAGTGGCAGGAATTGAGGACAAGTTAGGAGGATGGTAAATGGGAAGGAAAAGGGGGAAGACG